ATTTTCTTGACCCATGTTATTGATTCAAGATTCTCAGTTATCAGTAAGACTTCAAAGAATGCAGACCCCAAACAGATTGGATGATTATGAGTGGCCTGAGGAGTGGAGAAGGAAGGTGATAGTCTACTCCATCTGCGCCGGGATGACCAACAACGACATCGTAGACAAGTTGAAGTTGCCATTGAGGACAATCCAGAGAATTAGGAAGCAGTTGGTGGATTCAGACTTTGATGTGGAGGCCGTGGCTGCCAGAAAGACACAAGATCGAGCTGAACAGAGGGTGAGGAGTGGCGATTTCATTTCAAATGTGCAGCAACTCATTGACAACGACCCCTCCATCTCAATCCGTGAGATTTCTCGACGTCTGGGCCATTCTGAGAGCACTGTGAGACTTTGTTTGAATGAAGATCTTCGCTATAAGTCCTACAAGATGCAGAGTGGACAGCTTCTTACTGAAACGACAAAAACGAAACGTCTCGTGAAGAGCAAGAAACTTTTGCACAAAATCAAGCATCCCCAGGAGCCAAACATGTTGTGGTTTTTTTCTGACGAGAAAAACTTTTGCCAGGATCAGGCACACAACAAGCAGAACAACAGATGGTTGGCTGTGAGTCCTAAAGATGTGCCCAGAGTCATGAAAACAAAGTTTCCTGTTCACATCATGGTCTTCGGTGTCGTCAGCAGTGACGGGCATGTTATGCCCCCACACATCTTTGAAGAAGGCCTGAGAGTGAACCAGAATGTGTACCAAGACATTCTGGCGACCGTAGTCAAGCCTTGGATTGAAGAAATTGCCGCAGGAAGACCATACGTGTTCCAGCAAGATTCTGCACCAGCACACATGGCCAGGAAAACTCAGAAGTGGCTTGAGGATAACTTTTTTGACCATGTTACCCCTGATATGTGGCCTCCAGACTCACCTGACTGCAATCCTCTTGACTATTATGTGTGGGGCATGGTTGAAAGGATCACTAATAAGACTGCCTGTAACAATAAAGACACCGAAGACCATGATGTGAACAGGAAACTGTTGTTTTCATGACTCTGGGCACATCTTTAGGACTCACAGCCAACCATCTGTTGTTCTGCTTGCTGTGTGCCTGATCCTGGCAAAAGTTTTTCTCGTCAGAAAAAAACCACATGCTTGGCTCCTGGGTATGCTTGATTTTGTGCAAAAGTTTCTTGCTCTTCATGAGACGTTTCATTTTTGTCGTTTCAGTAAGAAGCTGTCCACTCCGCATCTTGTAGGACTTATAGCGAAGATCTTCATTCAAACAAAGTCTCACAGTGCTCTCAGAATGGCCCAGACGTCGAGAAATCTCACGGATTGAGATGGAGGGGTTGTTGTCAATGAGTTGCTGCACATTTGAAATGAAATCGCCACTCCTCACCCTCTGTTCAGCTCGATCTTGTGTCTTTCTGGCAGCCACGGCCTCCACATCAAAGTCTGAATCCACCAACTGCTTCCTAATTCTCTGGATTGTCCTCAAAGGCAACTTCAACTTGTCTACGATGTCGTTGTTGGTCATCCCGGCGCAGATGGAGTAGACTATCACCTTCCTTCTCCACTCCTCAGGCCACTCATAATCATCCAATCTGTTTGGGGTCTGCATTCTTTGAAGTCGTACTGATAACCGAGAATCTTGAATCAATAACATTGGGCAAGAAAATATTGTATTATCTGGATTTTACCTGTTTAAACTCGGGCCAATTCTACTCGCGCACCCTGTATGTTGAATGCAAACATGCGCAAGTGTGTCGTAATGTGCTTGCAGGAACGCGATGGTCACTTTCAAAACTTCCTATTACACTTTTTTGCATAGGTAAGATGTGTTCCTTCTATATTAAGCCAGTTTTGACTAATTCAACTAAATTTAAGTTGCTAAAAAAACGTTGCACATTATGGGTTGCTTGACTTTTGAAAGACCCTGTATAAATGAAATTCAGACTTTCTCAGAATAGCTTGAGGATGAGATTGATCCAGAGGCTGATGAGCTTCATTTCCCAGCTTGGCATGACATGCCTTGCCTGTCAAAATATTTCTCTTCAAGTCTTCCAAGGAGAAAAGTTTCACCAGGAGACATTGGAGCAACCTAGCCACCAGACCCATTTGCCATTATGACACTTCTCTTTGATTACATCACACCACTCCCTTTGTCAACAAGCTTCCTACTCAAGCTAAGTTAGACTGAAGCTGCAATGTAAGTTCTTCCTAATTCCTCATATTGAAGACCAGTACTGACTTCTCGAAGATCACTTGACGGAAGCAAGTAGCTTGAGGATTTTGTCCATTTTGCTCCCAATTCTCAAGAGGTAGACATAGACATGTAGATTCAGTTCAAGGTACATAAACCCATTAAATCTCTGGTGCATCAACAAATGGATAGTTGCAGTTCTCTCTAACTTGGTATGAACTGGCATTCCTATTTCTAAATCTTCTAATGCTATGGCTTGGCCAATTCAGCTCAGGGTGAATAAACTATATTTCTCTGTCTAAGATAAGAGGACAGTTGTTGCAGGTCTCTGGTTAGATACTGAAAAGCTATATATCTCTGAATCTTTGCTTCGTTTCCAAGGAAAGCTTCTAAGCTGTCTCAGAAGGATTCAAAAAGAGCTTTGAAGGAGCAGAGATCGTACCTTGAGTCTTTTTCATCATCTGCTTGTGAAGTGTACATAGAAGGGCATCAATATATACCCTTACCAATTAAGGATCGCTCACTATTTCTGTTCCTGAGAGAGTTGAATTGGGGTCTGACAACAGTGACTCAGGATCTCTCTAAACTTGGCAATCCTGTCATAGCCAATGCAGGGAACTCAAGATTCTCTGTAAAGGGCATAATAATCTGACGTTGATGCATAAACAGTAACCCAATATCTCAGGATTTTTTTTATTCTATAAGCTTATATTCAGATTCTATTCAGTCACTACATAGAGACTTATAGATTTTATAGTTTATAAAATCCACTATTGATTTGTATTTAAAAATTTTTACTTGGGACGACAAGTCACTTCTTGGATCTCTTTTGGTTGACTCCAACTTCTTGAAAATGAGAGATTCAGGGTAAATCACCATGGGTCGCTCTATACCACTCTGGGTCAAATTTGGTCATTGTTTCAATTTTTGTAAAACTGTATCACCTTCTGATAATTACACCCAAATTGGGCCACTTTGGGTCACTCAATATTGCACTGGGCCACTTGGATCAGACTGAGATTAAGAGAACTAATGAGTTTCAGAATCAGCTCAGATTAGCTTGTCCTTTTCAGACAATCTTGTCTGAAAAGGATCCCCATGCTATTTCCTATGATTCCTTGCTTTTGTTACACCCATATAGTCTATGAACAGTGTAAGTTCCATGATAATAGCTGCAGTAATTAGAGCAGATAGGTATGGGTTAAAAGTTGAGGGAACTTGGTCAAATGTTTTTTACTACTGAGGATATTACATTGATCCATAATTAGCACCCCAATATCTCAAATTTATTTGTCCTATAGACCTATATTCAGATTCTTTACAGTCACTACATAGAGGCTTATAGATTCTGTAGAGTCTATAAATTCCTCTATGCAGTTCTATTGATTTGTATAAAACTTTTTCACTTGGCACTATGCAACAATTCCAAGTTCATTTTTAAACATCACTTTAATTTAATGTCTTTAAATTTAATGAAATTCTGCCTGTTTTCTAAGTGCAAGCACCTTTTAAATATTAAACTGACAGGAAGAAAGAAATATTTAATACAGGGTTATTGACACATACAACTTTTACCCTTAGTATTGCTGCATGGTAGCCTTTCATTTCAGGATGTCTGAGCCATCAGCAATTTTTTTTCTTGCAAAACTCATCATGTAAGGAAATACCTGAACATGAATTTTTGTCCAACAAGACTTCCCTGAGGTGATTGCAAATTTCCTTGCATGATTGGTTTTGCTAGAAAACTAATTTGCTGAGGGCTTGAACCATCCTGAAATGAAAGACTGCTATGGAGCAATTCCCAATTCATTTTGAAAAATCATTGATTCGAGTAATTTTGAGGTGCGTCTCAGTTGCCATTCATTCTGTGAACCAAGGGCACAGTCACATTTTTCCAACTTGTTTAAGTGACATGTTTTAATCCTGGTGTCCTTTTTTTTTTTTTTTAGGTCAGTCAATTCTATGTTCCTGATGTCAATTTCATGAGGTGTATCTCCATGCTCAATAACAGCTCTCAACTCCTAACCAATTTTTGCATGTTTCTTTATTATCTCTTTGAAAATGGAACGAAGGACAATGTCTTTGTAAACAGGGGCAAAAAAAGCAATCAGTTTCCTGGGGACCTTGTGTTATTGTGGAACAGTTGTCACATCAGTGGAAAGAACTTCCTGATTGACTAATGTAAACTCATCTACAAGTGTATTTGCAGCCTTCATGCGAATACTTGCGCAAGTCATATGAGGGGATGGCTCTACAAGATGGCAACAGGGGCTGTTCTACTGCTGCTGCAAACAAGAATTCAGCCCTAACTTGTCAGGTGGGTGATGATTAATTTTATTTTTCCCTTGTCATGGTGATCATGACAGGACTCAATAATATTCCAATTTGCAGATAGAAGTTTTCTTTTTCAGTAAGTTTAGCATCTCTTGCAAAAGGAAAAGTATGCCTCAGGAAGCATATTGGTAGTATCTTAATCTCACTTGAGGATTCATTCATACTTTTTGTGTACTCCTCTGCAGACATCCCCAGAGATGCCCCACATCCCTTTCCTCTACCATGTGTGTGCCATAAATCTAACAGCTTCTTGTCAATAAATTAATCCCATTAATCCCATCATCATCTCGTTCATAAATGAAGCCATAGAAAGAAGAAACATATTCAAACCGGTTGCATCGGATCTGCCTTGTCTCCATTGCCAGCATGCAGAACTCTGAATCTGTGATAATGTTAGTTTCACCACACCCTATTTTTTAAATGTAGGTTCCTTGACTTTTGAAGCCACCCATCCTGTCATTATCATGGATGATGAGGGCTGCCATTAGCCAGACTGTGACCCAGATGGGCTAAACCACCAGTCAAGCCTTTTTGATCCTGTCTCTAATACTACCAGTGCGTCAAATTGGGCAAATTTCAAAGGCATACTATTGCAAGTACTCCACCCCACTCCCTCTCCTCTCTAATTTCCATACTATCATCAGAGCTTATGAACCACTGCGTGTTCTGGGCAGGCTAGGAAAATCCTTGCGAACCTGCGAACGAAGTTCGCGGGAACGGAGACCCCCGGGCGGGCGGCCCGCTTAGTCCGCTTGCGTATCCTTCCCGGAAAATTCCAATTTGTTGCCTCAGGTTAGCAGGAAATTTTTTTTTTCCTACACTGGTTCTGGGTAAGATTAATTTTAATTATTCATGCTTTTCCTATTGGACAATAAGCATTCACAGTATCCTTATTCTAAAGTTTGCTAAAGCAATATAACCAATATAATTGCGAAATATAATCAATCTCGTATCTCGTATTTACTCAATCTCGTATTTTGGTCAAGGGAGTAAATAAGCAATTAAAAGTTGCTATGTCTTTGATGTGAAGTCTCCAGCGGGAGTGCTCATTTTTGAGCCTCGTTGTCAGATGACAATGGAGAGAGCTTTGCATGAATTGACTTGGTCAAAAATTGATGTGAAAATTCTTTTGTAGTCATGACACCCTCTTCTCAATTTAGAACATATAACCCCTTTAAATTTAACATATTTTCATATTTATTCCATTATACCTCATCGGAAAGTAAGACATTAACTCCTTGAACCCATCGCGAAGTCTCTGTAGAAAGAAGTCGCTATTGTAGCCGTTTGCTTTTTCGAACGTATTTTGTATTCCCCGGCGATGGTGGCTTTGGCGGGAAGCTTAAATAAGGTGAGAATTGCGTCGTTGCTGCCACTCTCGCTCGGGGAGAGCGGACGAGTCCCTCGCGAGGCGTGTATGCGCGGGAACCTCATTTTGATCTTCAGAAGCGAGACGATACCTCCGTCGCCGGGGATGGCCCCGCCCAAGGTTCACGTACTTCTCTCGACCTTCCCGCCACTGCTGCTCACTGCTCACTGCTCACCTCCCTTTGGAACCGCGCGCCTTTCGATGCCGACCGAACGTCGCCGCTCTCGGACTATCCTTCCTCGAGTGTCATTCGGGGTTTCATTCGTTTCGTGTCTTCCTTGCTCGCCGCTCCTTCCAACGGGATTCACTACCGCGGAAAGCATTCGCATGATGCTGTGAGTTTTTGCAGTCGGTCCTTATTCGGTGATAGCAGAAGTTGTGCTACGAGTGAACGGGATCGAGTCTCGGTGCGTGTGAGGTTCCGCGTTTTGTACTCGAAGAGGATTTGTAGGCTTGGTCTGGTCCTGGTTGGGGCCTGTGACCGCGGCGTCGAGGTGAACCTAATTGTCTTTTCTGATGGTTTTGGTCTTCTGACCCGGCCTCGGCAGGAATTCGAGAACGTGGTGGACCGATTCGACTCGGACGTGACGCGACAGGGAAGGTGCCAGGTCATTACTCAGGTTGTGGTTTTCTCGAGAAACCCCGAGTAGGACCCCCCCCCCCATGTCTCAAAAATTGGGCATCCCATGTATGGAATGTGTATGGAATGTTTCCCGATCGGTATATCGGGTAGGCTCTGGGCAGAATGTAATGCCCCGGTCACAAGATCTAATCCAATCTTAAATCTTATGATCCTGATTCTTGATAAACTTTAGTATGAGGAGAAAGGTGGAGAATCGAGGACTACTTGAGGAAGTGGTCGATTGATGATAATTTGCCCGCACCGATTGGCATGCGGGTTAGGCTATTCGATACGCTGGAAAGGCGTGGCCGAGGTTGACGTTTTGGTTCAGCCTCGCCTTCGTCGAGATACAATATTAATAGTAAAGAAAAGTTCTTCGATCTGCACAGGGGGACGGGGTGAATACAGCCCGGGGCTGAATAGAGCGGGTGAATACTTGTGCTGCGGAACGGGGGAGAGCCTGTCGAGGTCATTCGCGACGCAGGTATTTTTTTTTATCCTGTTCGAGCCTGGCAAATATTGGAATCGGTGGCTGAGCCTCGTGCAACAGCCCATTTCCGGCACGGTTAAACGCATCCGTTTTAGGCGGGTGAACAGTTGCTGCTTTGTCGGGCATGTTAGTGATCAACTCTATTTAGGAGGTGACTTACCTGGAGAGGAGTGTGAATTGCCAATTCTGAGAATTATTCTGACTTTGTTCTGTGTATGCTTGGCTATCGTGTTGCACGGCTTCCGCGCATGATCGGGCTGGTGGCATCTCTCGCGCCCTTTCTCGTACGCAACGGAGGTGAAAGGGGGTGGTGGCAGAGAGGCCATTGCGCATGTCTCACCCTCTCCCCGAAGGCCTTATGGAAGGGTCGGCGAAGGGGTGAAATTCAAGGCTCGTTTGCGCTTTCATTGCCAGTGGTTCTCGATCTTTTCGATCTTGCGACCCTCCTTAACAACAGCAAACTAATTCAAGGTTCACAACTGACTTAAAAGCTGTGTAATTATTGTTCGCCTAACTGTTAATTGTTGTTATTTAGTTTACGGATACTTGTCACAGCCCACCGGTTGAAAACTAATGTCCTCTGCTAGTTCACGAGGGAACTCCGTATCTTAAGTATCTCGGGCTCTTGTCACGGGTAAGGGACGATGCGGAAACGATATCGACGATGACATCTTGAAGGCCTCTGCTGTTTTGCGGGGACTAACGAACCGAGGTTCTTCGTCCCGTCGTCCCATGGGAACCAGGCCTTGAGATTGCTCAACTTGAGCATACGAGTAAATAGAGCCGTTCCTGCCCTTACATGCGCCACAACTGGATGTTAAGACAGAACTCATACTTGACCAAGCCACCACATCTTCACTTGAGGGGAATTACTTTTAGCGTACTGTGTGACTGGGAATCTGGGATACACAATTCTTCCAAGAGCACCTCTTGTAGCCTTGAGCCCTCTTTACCAGAACCTAGAGGACCGGGTGGTTCACATAGCACATATGATAGAGAATGGGAAATATTCACCTTCACCTTCCCCCCCCCTTTGCTCCTATGGACTTTTGAGCCTCATCAGGTTTGTTGTTCCTTTGAGGAATGAGGACTTACGTGCGAAATCAGCATTTGACTCGTTTCGACGGGTTATCATTCTTACCCTGTGCCCAAAGCTTCACAACCCCCGGGGCTTCAACAGGAGTAGAATGTGCCTACACGTGAATTTGGCGATTGATACATCCTGTTGCAGCCTTCACTCACACCGTAGACCTGAAAGCGATTGTCTCCTTTCCAATTTATCTGACGAGATTATTATTGATTTTGGTTGCTAAAAAACAAACAAAAGGAAGCCGACCAGGGGCCATAGTCTATTAAAATCGTAAACTTTGTTGAAGCAAATTTTACAGTCTCGCTATGCATTTGAATGAGACTAATACCAGCTAAGCACCATGCTATGAGTATAATTGAACTTAAGAACATCATAAAATACGGCCCCTGGCCCTCATCTTATTTCTGTCTTCGCGGTTGATTCCGCCGCGTGTTCCACCTGTGACAGTTGTGGAGTAAGACATGCTTCTTTGGTGAATGTTGTAGTGACGACCTTGGACATGAACGTTTTCAGAACCGAACGTGGCCGAGCTGCAGTTGCGGTTCGGAAAGTCAGTATATGCCTTTTTTTAAATTAAGCTAATATGATGCCTGTCTCTCCTATTTGCCTCCATCATTTTCCTTATTCAGGGATTCAATTGAGAATCGAAGAAATGCAGACCGAGAGAGGGAAGTACCGTCACAGAGACCTGACATTCGACACCGGACCTTGGTGAGTGCGTCTTGTACTTTGGTCTCTGGATTCCTCCAGAAGTCTGAAAAGATTCTTTCCTTACCCTATGTCTTGGCCAACATGGTTTCAGATACTCTTATGATTTCTGGTTTTTGCATGCTGTACTTTGAGTTTGGTAATATTCTTCATTTCTTTATGTGGTAAGGAGCGAGGAACACAGATGGTAGGGGCAGATAACGGGTTTTGTATTGAGTATCACGAACAAAAATACGATCTTCATCGTAGAGTTGTAGAGCAATAAGGGCTACTACATGGCCGCGAGTCTCGCGATCATGTCATCCATAAACGATCTTATTGGAATTCCTCATGTAGTACTTGCTCATCCGGAAATTTCAGCTCGGCTGTTGGGAGGCGACGAATTTGTCACTAAGTGGCTCGAATTTAACGATAAAACGGGTGAGAAAGATGAAGGGGATCCCATGGCATAGTGGACTTGGGAGAAACGACATCATAAACTTTCTTTAAGAGGTTGTGCGCTAAATTGGATTCAGGATTCGGGGTAGGGTGGCTAGCTAACTGGTTGTCTGGAAGAGTGCAGAGAAATTCTGAATGAAAGTGTTGGCAGTGATCGGGCGAGGGAGCGGAATCCCCCATGGCTCAGTCCGACTGGTTCTACTTGTGGTCTTCATGAGTTTTCATATTTACTTGGTCTCCCGAGTAAAATCAACAAATTCTCCGACGACGCGAAAATAAGCTTCACCGGGAGGGAGGAGGACAGCGAGCGCCGATGTGAATTTACAGCTTTTTGACGGAGTGAGAAAGTGACTCATGAAGTTAAATAAGAGTAGATGAAAGATTCTTCAAATCGGTAACATTAACGATAAGGCCTTTGAATGTCTTTGGCTGAAGGAGGCAAACGGAGAGAGACGCTGGGATCACACGAAATGAGAATCTCGACTCTATCTTGCTCGCGGAAGAGCCGGAAGCTAAAGGTAGAAGGATTCTATGAGCAATCTAGCATTCCATTGTCAATAGGAGCTCGAGCGTTATTCTTCCGTTGCATGCAACCGTGGTGGATATCCTATTTTAGAGTCTTGCATTCAATATTGGAGGCATGCACATAAATGTGAACTAACTTTGCTGGAGGGTTGAGGCGAGGAACGGAAATGGAGGTATGAGGACTTACATATGACAGATGTTTGGAAGTGTTGGGACTTAATTCGTTCGAAAGGTGAACGAATGGAGTTAGTGGCCCTCTATCTACCTTTTTTTTCTAATAGGATACCATTGGGTCCAGTTTATTCCCATAATATATATGGTTGTAAGTCTTTGTGATATAGAGACCCTGTTCATATTATTAGATTCAAGCAGGAAAAGTGATAAAATCAACCGAACCAATAAGTGAATTTCCAATTTTAAGTTATGATGTCTTTTCCTTTTGCAATGACAGCCCAGATCGCGAAATTCTCGATAATTCATTTCATGTAATGAAGCTAATTCGGCTTAATTGGCATACCCAATTACATATAATATTTTAATTTCATTTTTTTGTGACAAGTTTAATATCAAAATTATGAAATAATGGTGGAGTATTTCTGGAAATTATGCTTACCACATGTGAATGTATCTTGGATGTGTGTTCCTTAACATTTGATTAATTTTTTGGCATTTTATGTCTGACTTTTTAGCTTATTTTCTACCTGTTTGTTTTTCAGCAACATGACCTGGACTTATTTCGAAGTAGAAAAAGCCACAGGAAACATGCATGTATCCAGCTAAAAATACTTCTTAATGATTCCTGCATCTTAATATGATATCTTAAGATGTTTAGTAAAATAAAAAAATTATTTACATAATGTATTGTTACTCATACTCACAAAAGTCATTCTTTGAGGTTGGCTCTAATATGAGCGGAACCTGTGTGTATTACATATTGTACATCAACTAGCATGTAAAAGATTGAAGCTCCATGAAACTTGTCTTGAAAATTTAGAAACAGTAATGAAGTTTTTATGGCAATATCATTATGCAATATGACTAAAATAATAACATTTATGGCATTAAGCACATGCCAGATAATTGCCATCCTCATAATTGGTGTTATAACCGATCCACAGGTCAGCCAATCAAAAACCAGATTAACTTGATATTTATCAAATTGGAATGCTGGATACGAAGGGAGGTATGCAGATTCTTCTAAGCTAAAGCATATTATGAGAACTCTTAATTCAGAAAAGTTACACTCAGTTGAAAGACCAAATTGTGCACTTCCCAGAGCTGATCCCAAGGAAAATGGAGAATTAATTCTAATTATCTATGCTTATGACATTGGGAGGCAGTCTTCCTATGAGGAAGGATAATATAAAATTATTATTTAAACTTTGCTGAGATAACAAGGCATAAATTAGAATTCATTATGCAATGTTGTTTAATTTTTACTGCAATGTTTTGTATTTTTTAGAATTTAGCAGATGTAGGCTCTCAGATGTAGACCTAAAAAATGGGTAGGACAAATCTGTTTCATGTACAGATGATGCTCCAAGAGTCTGAAATGTAAGGGAGTTAATTTTAATGTAATAATGAATATAAGCCCATTGCTCATTACTTCAATTCAATTACCTCAATTGGAGCCCTGTGAAACCATCACAAAAAGGCAGTCAATTACTTGGAAAAAAAAGCTGCCAGTACTTCTGGAGGAAATCAAAATAGGAATGAGGTAAATTTATTTCTAATAATACAGTACTTCCCTCATGGCGTTCCCTTTGAGTGGGCTGAA